GTAGGTGCCTGTGATCGTGTCCACGTTCGTTGCCCTGTGGCTGGTGAAGGTGACCTCCGGTCGTGACCTGACCTGTGGCGGCCCAGAACACACTCGCCTTTGTGTATGACCCATGCGTGTTCCCCAGTGTTGGGTGTCGGGTTTCAGAGAGTCCGCGAGATGAAATCTGATCATCGAGTTGTGGAAACGCCTGTCTCTTGCTTTGCTGCCTCCGTGTCCCTGAGACAGTGGTTTGGGGGAGCCCTGCCTCCTGCCCCACTTTTACCCAGGAAGCTGGCAGAGATGGGACCGAGGGGGGCCGATGCGGGGCAGCCCCGCTGGTGGACGGGCTGTGCTGGCTGAGGTCCCCATGGGTCGAATGGACCCCGGGGTCCCCCAGGGGGAAGGACTCAAACAACAAGAGGCTGCAGGGTGCGCTAGAGAGCAGAGAGGGGACCCTGGACTTCACCTGCCTACGCTCCAGGTGAGGGAGGGAGAGGAGGGAGAAAAGAACAGACCACCCCTCTCTCCACCCCAAGGCCCCGAGCCCCAAGCGTGCCCCCAGCCTCAGGTGTATACCCGAGTTCACACTACCAGATTAGCCAGCTCACTGACGCGCGTCTCGGCCACAGGCCCCACGCGGGCCGCTGCATCGAGGTGCCCCCGAGGGGCACTCACCATGTTGAGGTTGGTGAGCACGTAGCGCTCCGTGTCCTCCTCGTGAGCCTGGTAGACGTCAGGGCCCACGGCCACCAGCAGCTCCAGGTGCAGGACGCTCCCCTCAGCATCATGCTTCCGGGGGCGAGGTGAAGGCCGGCCTGGTGAGGGAGGAGGCGGAGCTGACAGCGGACGTTCTAGAAGCAGGTGAACCCCGGGTTTAGCCGCCCGGCCGGCCTGCCTTCTCTATCACCCTGTGCTCCCAGCTTGGGGGAGTCGCTGGGCATGAATGCGGGGAAACGTGAGGATGCCGGCCTCCCGCACGGTGACAGCTGGGCGACTGGCCTGGCCTGTGTCTCTCCCACAGACCGTCCCCCAGCCCCCCTGGAGCCGGCCTCGCGGCACCCAAGGTTGCAGCACCCTTAGACGCCCATGAACAGATTTCGGTCCTCCTGTGCCCGCAGGGTCCCAAGCTCTCACACGTCCCCTTATGCTGTGACTGTGAGAACCGATGGCGGCTGGCCAGCTAGCAGGGCAGAGGCTGCCAGGTCTTGGGAAGACAACTTTCTCCAGACACTTTGTGTCATTCCACCCAAGGGCCTGGATCCCATCAGACTGGACATTTCAGGGCGTGGGAGAGCCAGGCGGCAAAGTGGGGCCTGGGAGGGAGCTGGTGTGGCTTCCATGTCCTGGTCATCCCAAAGCTGCTCACTGGGCACACACTGGGAACAGGGTCACCCGGGATGGCAAGTAAAGCCCAAGACAGCAGCCTGCTTGCACCTGGACGCGGCCTGAGCTGTGCAGAGGCGGCTGCAATCCTGGCCTTGCTGGAGCCACCCAGCGTCCTCGGGCCCCTGGGAAATGCCAGCATGTCCCAGAGCCACGAGAGGGCGAGGAAGGACGCACACCTGTGAGCGTGCTTTGTACACGGCGAAGGGCTCTCCGTCCAGCAAGCCGACAGCGCGGGGCATGGCAGGTGGCCACGTGTCCCTGGGCTGCCCCATGAGCTGGGGACCCCTCGCATCCTGCTCCGCAGCGGCTGGCCTCTCTGTCACAGCCCTGCCCCCCAGCATCAGAGAGCTGGTCTCTACCCAGAACTGGGCTCCCCGCTCTCCCTCTCCCAGAGCTGTACCTTGGGAGTCCCCCGGGACCACGGCGGCACGCCTGTGGATCAGGTGGGGCTGGCCACCGCCCCCGTGAGGCGCCCGTTCCCGATGCTGCCTCCTCAGCGGCTGGATGTACAGCCTGTCGGCACCCACCACGACGTCGCCCTCCTGGAGGAGAGAGCAGGCTGGGGCACACAGCCCGCCTTGCAGGGGACCCCTTGGGCCATCACAGCGCTCTCCAAGAGCCCCTCCTGAAGTCCAGGGTCCAAGGACCCATCTTTGCGGGCTCGAGAGGGGCCCACACCCTCCTGGAGCCACACGCACTGCCTACCGCCTGCCGCCGGCCCCACTGCCCACACTCCGTCCCCTCCCGTGCCCACGGCCTTCAGGCCTCAGTCTGCAGGGCCTGGCAAAGACCCTGGTGGGGTCCCAGTGCATAGGAATCGAATGGTCTCGGGGGACTAGTTAGGCCTGTGCTAATGAACAGCACTGCAAGTCACCAGAGGGACCCTGAGTGGCATCTGTCCCAGCCCAAGCTGGGCCACTCAGCCGAGGGATTGGCATGATATAAACGGCTCTGGCTTGTTGAGTGACGCATTGTGACAAACTCCGCGTGGACATTTGTCACCAGTCAAGTGCTGGTGCTGTCTTCACCGTGTCTCAACTGAACACGCTGAGCCCCAGCCGAGTGACGGCCAGGGGCGTCTGTACTAAGTGGCAGAGCTGGAAGCTGAACTCGGGGCTCAGACTGCAGAGCCCTGGCTCTTTCCAGTCCCTGGTCCCCAGGTTTGCACTCGGCTCTGCCACCTGCTAGCCGGGTGGCTGGGGAAACTCGCTGGCTTTTCCGAGCCTCCGTGGGGTCTAAGGTTGGGCAAAGGTCTAGCGTGGCATCATCGTCATGCATTGGACGGTGTCGGGGGGCTCGGAGGATATCTGCGCCCTGGCCCCAGCAGCCACACCCTCGGCACAACGTGTCCAACACCTGGGGGGCTCCCACTCACCAAGTGGCCGGAGCAGTAGGTGACCCGGGCTGCCGTGCCCGGGGGCAGCAGGACGCGGCCTCCTGTGAAGCAGCGGGTCGGGGGGCCCCTCAGCTCCCGGAGGGAGGCGTTCACCACACGCTCGCTGGTGTAGGAGGCAGTGAGCAGGCCCAGCTCCGGCCGGAAGGAGAAGGTGAAGAGCCGACCCCGGGTACGAAGGGAGCAGCGGGGGGCCCCACAGGGTGGCCCCCCGAGTCTGTCCTCGCAGACGCAGGTGAGCGGGGCCACGTCAAATCGGGGCACTGCAGGAGACAGGGGCCACCTCACTCACCCCGACTCGGCCCTCGCGTGGGGAGAGGCCGGAAGCTGTTCCCTTCGGTGAGAATTCGTGAGGAGGAGCCCAGGCCTGGCACCCAGCACCCTGGGGTGGAGTCCAGCTCCTTCCGGCTCCTGGGGTGGTGGACAGCAAGTGGCCTCGCCAGCGTGGGCCTCGCCGGGGTTCTGCCCGTGCTGGCCCACTGGCCTCGCCTCGGAGCACGTGTTTCGTGAGTGAAGCCATGAACCCCGACGGGCAGAGGGGGTACAAGTGGCTTCTGTGGCCTCTTCTGAACAGCAGGAGCCCGAGGGCGGCCTGACTGTCCTTTTCCACCCATGTCCCTCACCCCGACATAGCCAGAGGGCTTGGGGACCCCAGGCAATGGTCTCCTAGCCTTCCAGAGGGGCATAGCCGGAGAGGCCTGGAGTAAGAGATATACAAGTTTTCGGCCCCCGCACCTCACAGTCAGCCCCAGTGGGCCTTCAGCTGGCCCTGCCCCCCATCCCGGCCCTCCAGTACATCCCCCGGCCCTCCAGCAGGAACCCCAACCCACCACGGCCCCAGGCATTGGTCAGTGTGCATCCGATCCAGACCACGGAGAAGTCACTTACAAGTTCTCTCCGCTCTAGAGGTGTCCCCCTAGCCCACCCTGCCTCTACTCCCCACCAGCCTTTTAATCAAGGTCACCAAAGGCCCTACTCAGAAAGGGTGTGGGGACCCCAGAGAAGTCCACAGAACTGTCCTCGAGCGACAGGGAAAAGGCTTTCGCTGGAGCTGGGCCCAGTGCCTATCTCGCTTCTCACAGAAGGGATAAATATTTACATCCGTGGCCAGAACCCAGGAAGCTCCTAGAAGTCACTTAGCCCAAGGGAGGCCCAGGGCGGAAGGGGCCCACCAGCCAATTAGTGACAGTTCCCTCAAGATACTGAGCAGAATCCCGGGGTCAGAGCCCGGCTCGGTCCAGAACACCCAGACCAATTTTTATCAACTTCGCAGGAAGTAACAAAGTTAATGAACAGGGGTGACATCCATCCTGACCTCGTCCCAGCAGAGCCACCAAAATCCCAGGCCCCTGATTCCATGGTGAGATAAAACGCAGAGAAACTCCCCTTGCCAGGAAGAGGCGAGGACAAGTACCTCCCAAGGTAGCATCAGGGCCAAAGTAAGAAGTCACTTCCTCGGGCTCCAAAGCCTGAAGAAATCGCTGTGGGAGAGAGAGAGCAAGTGAGGAGAGGAGAGGCTGGGAGGGGGGCTGGAAGGGGGGCTGGAAGCGGGGCTGGAAGTGGGGCTGGAAGCGGGGCTGGAAGGCGGCAGGGCAAGACAGGAAACCCGCCCGCCAGGATGGGGAGGCGAAGAGCCAGGCACACGTGTCTGCCCTTCAACCAGGGGGGCCGACAGCATCGAGAAGCCCGTTCCTTCCTCTGAACACACATCCTCCTCCGAAACCCCGAGCTCAGATCCCTCCGCCCACTGCAAACGCCGAAGCTGAAAAAAAACACCGCCACTCTGCCCCAGGGACCCGCTTCAGCACCCAGAAGAGCCTGGCTCCTGCAGATTCGCCCACCTGTTGGACATCCGGGAGTCCCCAGCAGCCGAGAAGGAAAGCAGAAGTGAGAATTCCCCACACGCATCTCCCCCCAGGGCGAAGCGCGCTCATCCTCAGCTGGCCCAGGGAGAGCCACAGTGACTGCGAGTCTGGGTGTGGAATGTGACAGACCCCCCGCTGGGCGGGGCCAGCAGGCTGTTTCCTCTGGGGAGTTCCCTCCCAGGACAGGGGCTGTGGGGGGTGGGCCGCCAGCAGGCTCCTGCTGCTGCAAGCTGGGCCTTGCCCTGGGCTGGTCCTAGGGTTCAGAGCACCCCACCTGGCCCTGCACCTGGGGTGGGGCCGGGCCAAGCCGCCAGGTCCGAAGGAGGGAGCACCGGCCCAGGGCTCTGGAGCCGTGGACTCATTCGGGATGCCGTGGCGGCAGGATAGCTCCCTCCTGGCTAATGAGGGTCTGCACCAAAGGCAGCAGCGTTCAGGCCTCCGGCAGCCCACGCTCCTTCTTTTCCATGATCTGTCTTGCTGTCCTGTCCTCATTCCGGGAAGCCCCCCCATTCCGGGCCAACTTGCTTTCCTTTCTCAGGCGTCAGATCTGCATGGCAGTCTGAGGCTCCCCTACCTGTCCCGCATTCTGCCCCAACTCACAGGGTGATTGCTTCCTGGAGACCCAAACGGACACATGGCCCTCGTCCAGGCAGCATCGCCGCTGGCCGGCACACCTGTGATGGGCTCCTGACTGGTCTCTCTGCT